TGAAGAAGATGCTGAGCCAAAAGGCCTTCTCACCTGTGATCATCAGGTAGAGATCATAATGGAAATAATGAGATGCTGGATAAGGTGAAGAGCTCTTTCATCTCAAGGGAGGTCATACTAGAGCTGCTGCTGCTCTGCACTGAAAGGAGTCTTGTGGTGAAAACTTTATAAAATGGTTTGATGCTCTGATTTAGATACTTCCTTGATGCCTTTGGAAGTTGTCTAAGTACATCTCCCTGGGAGAAGACCTAGAACACTTTGGAGGGATTATATTTCCTCTCTTGCCATGGAACTCCTTAGGATCCCTCAGTAGGAGATGAAGAGTGTCTCTGAGGAGAGGGATGCCTGGATTTCCCTTCTGGACCTGTTGCCTCCATGACCTAACCCACTGATAAGAAGGAGGCAGCAAATGGATAAATGAACAGAAGGATGGATGGACAGATGGATGGGCAGATGAATGTATGGATAAATGGTTGGCTTGATGAATGGATGATGGATGGATGGATGGATGATAAATGGATGGATGAATAGATGAACAGTTGGCTTCATGAATGAATGGATAGATCATGGATATATGAATGATTGGTTTGATTGATGGATGGGTAGATGGATGGTTGGTTTGATAGATGGATGGATGAGTAGATGGTTAGTTTGATACTTTGTAGATAGATGATGGATGTATTAATGGATGGATGGTTGGCTTGATGGATGGATGATGGATGGCTGATTAATGGATGGATGAATAGATGAATAGTTGGCTTCATGAATGAATGGATAGATCATGGATGTATGGATGATTAGCTTGATTGGATTTGGATGAGTGGATGGTTAGCTTGATAGATAGATGATGGTTGGATGGATAGATGGATGGATGGTTTGATGGTTGGTTGGATGGTTGATTTGATGGATGGATGACTGGTTGGCTTGGTGAATGGATGATGGATGGATGAAAAATGGATGGATGAATAGATAAATAGTTGGATTCATGAATGAAAGGCTAGATCATGGATGGATGGATGGTTGGTTTGATAGATGGTTGAATGGTTGGTTTGATGGATGTATGGATGGATAGATAGATGGATAAATGGTTGGTTTGATGGATGGGTGGTGTCTTGTTTGATAGATGGATGATGGATGGGTGGATGGATGGATGGATGGATGGTTGGTTTCAAAGATGGATAATGAATGGTTGGATGGAAGAATGGATGGATGGATATTTGGTTTCATAGATGGATGATGGATGGATGGATGATTGGTTTGATGGAAGGATGGATGGATGGATGAATCGTTGGTTTGATTGATAATGGATGGCTTGTTTGATAGATTGATGATGGATGGATGGATAGTTGGTTTCATAGATGGATGATGGATGGGTGGATGGAAGAATCGATGGATGGATATTTGGCTTGATGGATAAATGGTTTGATGGATGGATGGATGGATGTGTGGATGGTTTGATGGATGGTTGGTTTGATGGATGGATGAATGGATGGATAGTTGGTTTTATAGATGGATGATGGATGGGTGGATGGAAGAATGAATGGACAGATGGTTGTTTGATGGATAAATGGTTTGATGGATGGATGGTTTGATGGATGGATGGATGGTTTGATGGATAGTTGGTTTGATAGATGGATAGTATGATGGATGGTTGGTTTGATGGATGGATGGATGGATGAATGGATGGATAGCTGGTTTCATAAATGGATGATGTCTCAGTGCCCTGAGACAACTTCTGTTGTGATTTGGTGTATATAAATAAACTGAATTGAATTGAATGATGGATGGGTATATGGAAGAATGGATGGATGGATGGATGGATGGATGGTTTGGTGGATAGATGGTTTGATGGATGGGTGATGAATGGATGGTTGGTTTGATAGATGGGTGATGGTTGGATGGATGAATGGATGGTAATCATTTTAACAACTCTAATTGACAATTAATCTATTTGTTTTTCTTTTTCAACAAAAAATGTTGGACACTGATGTGGTCCATTTTAAATTAAGGTTTAAATAAAAGAATGTTACTGAGCTACAATCTAGTTTCCAAAGGAGATGCACTGTAATTAATATATGTTGGTTTTTATTGGTAAACACCTGTTTAATAACCAATTAATTGTAGGTTTGGACCTGTGGTCTTTCTGTGTGGAGTTTGCATGTTCTCGTGTTTGCGTGGGTTTTCTCCATGTACTCCGGTTTCCTCCTACAGCCAAAAACAGACAAGTTCAGGCTATGTTCAGGCCCAGACCTCCTTTGCAAAAGAGATCTGTGATCTCAATGGGATTTGCCTGGTTCCAAAAAAAGATTACTAAAATACCGGTTAATAAATAGAAATGCGATGAGGAATGATGTGGCTGCTTTAAGAGTACCTACAGAGAAAAAGAGAGCGTGTAAGGCGAGCGATGGAGGTAGCTTGTGTTAGCTGATCTGATCTGCAGCTGTTGGAAACTAGTTGGCAACTCATAATTGTGACAAAATAAGCAGACTCTCTATGTGTTTATGACCAGCGAGCCAACACGGCTGTGTTTTGCTTGGTCAGCTTTCTTGGGGTTGCAAAACTCTATTGTAGGTCTTGCACATGATTTAGTTGGCCGCCTCCATCCACGTCATAGCTGCTTAGTGCCCACCGTGGCAGCCGAAACAGTTTGCAGCTTTGCCTTTGGTCGTTCATTGTCAGAAACTAAGGCAGCAGAGAATAAAGTGTTACGTCAGGTCACCATGGTGTTATCTGAACGTTCAACGAAAAGAACGGGAACCTTGACAAACAAACATTTAGTTCCGTTATTTTGTCTGACGTTGTTTGTTCCGAGGTTTAGGCAGCGCATTAGACGTAGACGTATTTCAGGTCGTTTGTAAGTTGCACCTCAACCATTTTCATGGTACAGTGTCTTTTTGCCTTTATTATGTTTACTTTTGCATGAAAACAGTGACTTTTTTTCTTGTTGAGATGTGAAAAGTAAAGTTCCTCAGCGCACATTAAACTTTACTATCAAAAATTAGAATGCCACTTGTTCAGCTTGTAATTTGTAAGCAAATTAAATAAAGAAAGGGGTTTCTTATTTCTAGTTGTTCTTAGGCCTGTCATGATAAATTTTTTTGGGCGATTAATTGTCTCAGAAATTATTGCGATAAACGATAAAATAGTTTGAAATTCGACAATAATTAGCAATTGTCAAATTTAAAAAGAAATGTTGGCCAATTTTTGTATGTAGTACCTTTTTTGACCACCAGATGGCAGTATTAGACTGTTTGAACCAAAGGATGGATAGTGAGGGAGCGAGCAGCGTGTCTCTTTCAGAAAAATGGGAGGGAGGCCCCTTGACGTGACATGGGCTCTCTCTCCTTCCTGTTTTTCGGTTCTCAAAATGATGGACGCTTGTTGTGGTTTGAGCTCTTTAGCATAGCATTTGTCATACAAAGCTTTTAATAAAAAATCCGTAAACAAGTTCCCAGCTTCTTTTTGCAGAGAAAAACAACTTTTTACATGAAGGCACGGGTTTCAACCGTGAATTTTGGAGCTCAACAAGACAGAGGTTTATTCCCCCGAGGTCAGCCTGTTAGCTTAGCTCGTAGCTTAGCTTCTCAGTTTAGCTGCTTTTAACGATCCAAAAAAAGTGATTTTGGACGGTCAAAACAGATTTTAAAGAGAAAAGAGAAAGGTCAGTGAAGAACATCAGAGTTGAGCCTTTTGTCATCCAGTGTCTTCAGTAGAACGAGAGAGACACAAAGAAACGATAAAGCCGATAAAATGAAAATGAGGTCGATAATTTTCATTTATCATGCGATTAATTGGTTTATTGTTTACCGCAACAGGCCTAGTTGTTCTTTGACTTTATCTAGAAACTACATTTGGGCCTTTGTGTATAAAATCTGAGAACCCATGATCGTGGTTTTCTGAGCCATGCCCAAATATTTAACGCAATTCTTGTTGCTTCTTCGAGCTCACAGCTCTGAGACTCAACACAGATTCACAGACCATTAAAAAAAAAAAAAGTGCTGTTTGATTTAATCCGCTGTGTTTGAATCCAGAATCTGTGCTGGCTGAAATGAATAAAGTGGATTAACTGTGTCACAGGATAATGCAGATTAAACTGGTCAACACAATCACCAAGTGGTGCATATGGTCTGCAGGGGGCGGAGCTTAACCTTCGTTTCTCAGACAGAAAACAGGATGAAAATATTTGGGGTTTAATTTCAGTGTTGCTCGTCAAGCATCTCACTTTTACACAATACCGTGAACCGTGTTCGAGGATCTTTTTTCCAACAGTCCCTGTATCACCCTGCACGCTTTCAAAAATCTGCCCTGACAATGCAAATGATGCTGCTAATGAAAGCGCTTAGTTATTCAGGTGCTGGCCCTCTGGAGAGAACCGTCAGCATGTCTCTTGATCCTTGAAGCGATCTCCCCTCCCCAGCTCTGGGCGAGGGCCGGCAGTCACGCTCGTTCTGACGGCGAACATCCAGCCGGCGTGGGGTGGGTGGCAGCTGGAGAAAATCCATTCCCAGAGTGAGCGTTCTGCTGAGGCAGGTACGCCGACCTTTGAGTCGTCTGATGGGTCAACGCTCCTCAGCCTGCCAGGGCGTTCGTGGCGACACGCCAAGCCTGTGGCGGTGCTCGTAGTAAAGCTCCTCTGAGCAGCAGCCAGCGATGATCAATGGAAGCTCTTGGCAGCTCGTTCAGCATACAGTATGGTACAAATACTCACCGACAGATGCAGGTGACAGATGACGATAGGACGATGAGACGAGGGGGGGAGCTGATGAAAGTGAGAGGTTTTACCCGTGTGCTCAGGAGCCACACAGACTGCTGACTCCGATTACAGCGCAGCAGACCTTTAGCAGAATTTATTTCCAATCGATTAGCGCCGTTGATCACGTTTATTTGGCACCTAATTATTGTTTGTGAACTCCTCTTCAAGGACTTTCAGGGCAGCGGGATGTTTCTGCTTCGTCCGCAGTAACTCTGCGCATGGGCTAATCAAAGTTGTCTCCTCTCAGGTGCCCACGGCGTGAGAGAGGAGCCCCGGTTTGTGACGGCACGCGCCGGAGAGAGCGTGATCCTGGGGTGTGACGTGTCCCCTCCCCTGGACGGCCAGCAGCCCCCCTACGTGGTAGAGTGGTTCAAGTTCGGAGTGCCTATTCCCTTCTTCATCAACTTCCGCTTCTACCCTCCTCATGTGGATCCAGAGTACACGGGTAAGGAGAGCAGAACTTGCAGTCAGCGTTGTGAATGACTCTCAGCTACTACCACGTCAGATTTTAGCTCAACATCTGTAAAATTCACTGAGTTGTAGCAATTTTTCTGTTTTCTAATGATCATCGGCTGTAGTGGCCATCTTGAGTTAGATTTATTACAAAAAGGTAATCAGATGTAGCTGCAAATCCAGTGATTCATTTCTGAAAGTTTCATTCTGTTCCATCTGGTGGTTCATGAGATTTTTTGCTAACAGACCAACTCTTTAACAGTTAATGCTAAAGTTTTAAGCAAAGATCTCACACAAAAGGAGCAGCACTTAGAATATGTGCTGTGAACAACTCTCGGCTACTACCACACCAAATTTTAGCTCATTATCTATCAAATTGGCAGATTTAGAGTCCTTTTTTACATTTTCTGGTTCAGTTGGCTGTGGCGGCCATTTTGAAATATGTTGGCTTGAAAAATTAATCATTTGTAGAAGAACATCCAGCGACAATTCCCTGATAGTTTCATCAAAATCCATCCAGTGGTTGATGAAATATTTTGTTAACAGACAGCTACAGTAGCTCAGCTACTACCACACCACATTTTAAACTGAGGTGAAGTCATTTTTGTGTTTTTTTTTAAAGATGAGGTGGCTGTGGCAGCAAGTTCATCGTCTTTCGATGTATATTCAAGAATTACTTTCTACACGTTTCAGTTTTCGACACACGAAAAACATTATCGTCCGCCTCTGCCTTTGGATGGTGGTCGATTATAAAAGGATCGTCTTCAGTGGATTTTATCAACAACCTTTTGCTTCATGAGGATTATAATCCATGTTGGGATGACTTTAGTTGACGAGTCCAGTAAATCCACAATATTTTGTTGTGTGCACACATCAGCAGAAACAAAGTGTTTCCACATTATAATAAACGGCAGGAGGGGCCTAACGACGAACTGAAACGGATCAAGCACGTTCTGTAAAACACCAGCTGTTCTTCTAAAAACCTCACTTGATCACCGTTCTGATTTAATGCTTACTGTTCAGAGATTATGGAAATCATCGTTGGGGAAATTCTCACCTTTTCAATACTCATCGATTGGGAATATTTGAAGGGCGATGCTCATTTTTCACTCTGTCAGTACAGAGATCATTTGCATCTTCTAAGATGCATCAGACACATCACCCTTCTTTCTGCCTCCTGCCATGCACTTGCAGCACGGTCCTCTTCTTTTGTCTCATCTCACTCAGTTTGGCTGAAAGGTTGAAACCACAATCGTCGTCAGAGGGAATTTGGAAAGACAAAGCTCTCGATTTACTGACCTATGTTCCAACCCTTACCTGTGGCTATGAAGTTTCAGGTTCAGATTCAGATGTTCTTTACTGTCGTTCGCACCACATGTGGTACATGTGTTGAAATGAAATTGTGTTCACAGGGTCCCAGTTACATCCAACAATAAAATGTAAAAGAAAAACAGCAATAACATCTACTATATGAACTAAGAAAAACATCAACTAAAAATATGCTAAGCACTAATAGCATAAAAACAAAACAATACAGCACGAACATGAGCCTGTGTGAGCAGATGAGCACGCATGAACACAGCAACATGAAACAGATCAGCAGCAACATGAAACAGATCAGCAGCAACATGAAACAGATCAGCAGCAACATTGAAACAGATCAGCAGCAACATGCTGTAATTCTTCACAGTGATTATTCTGGTTAGAGATTCATGAGTCTAACAGCGTCAGGGTAGAAGCTGTTTCTCAGTCTAGTGGTTCTACACTTAATGCTTCTCAACCTCCTTCCTGAGGGGAGCAGGGCAAAAAGTGTGTGTGCTGGGTGAGTGGGGTGCTTCATGATGCAGGTGGCCCTCTTCCTGCATCTGGAGGTGTAGATGTCTGTGATGTTGGGGAGACTGACTCCAACAGACTTCTGTGCAGCCTTCACCACTCACTGCAAAGCTTTTCTTTCTGCAGTTGTGCAGCCTCCATGTCACACGTTGATGCTGGAGCACATGGTGATCTCCTTTAGGTTATATATATATGAGCGATAGAACAGGACCTTGGATACAAGCTGCCAAAACGAGATTTTGTAGGGTTTCCTGGCTCAGCTTCAAAGACAGGCTGAAGATCTCCATCATCCATGGGGGTTTCAGATTTAAGATGCTGCTCCATCTCATCAACAAGAGGAGGTGGTTTGGGCATCTGATAGGATGCCCCCTTGATGACTTGCTTTAGAGGTTTTCCAGTTGTGTCTTAATGACCAATTGTTAGGCTGATAATCCTCCTTTATCATGTGAACAGCTACCAATAGTTCTGACTGTCACCAGAAAACTGGTTGACCCCAGTGTTGCCAGATCTCGCGATAGAAACAAGCAACCAGCTCTATGAAAACAAGCCCAACTGGCAACCCACCACACTGTGTAAAACAGAAGCTGTATAAACATACATTTATTATGGCATTACATATAAACAACAGCAAAATTATACTAAACACTTTGAATAACATACTTTTAAGCTCTGATTAAAAAAAATAATTTTGCATATGTATTTTTTCTACATTATTTTAAAAACAAAACATCCTGACATCTGCGTGTGAGTGGAGCCCCCTACTGGCCACCCACATTATGAGTGTTTGGGGTGCGCGCCCACAGACGTATTTGTATATGTCTGTGCGCGCCTGTCGCCTCGCCAACTTGGGCGGGAGCAATAATCAGGAAACGGGGGCTTGGAAGGTACAAACTACCTACTACTACTCGTCTTTTGCTTTATTGTGCAGAGCTGGGAGATAATCAACTAGTTTCACTCGGAAAGAAAGTTAAGCCCAAATAAGCAACTTCACGTTCAAAACAAGCCCCAAAAGAACGCAACCGGCGACTCACAAGCTTTGCAAGCGACTTTAGGAAAAAACAAGCCCAAAGTCGCTTATGACCCACTGTGAGAAGGTGCTATTTATAAGACTCAGTTTGTTGCAGCGCCTCAGACTGAAGAAGTCTTCTGGATAAAAGACGAAACGTTTCAACAAAGAAGAATCTGTCCAGAGGACCTGACTCAACCTTGTTAGATTCGTTTACCTGGATTGCTGAGCATGTATCAGGATATCAACTCATCGTAACGACGATCATGACTCAAACATCAAGTTCAAGAATCTTTATTACACCCAAGGGGCAGTTTGTTTCACAGTCAGCAGGAACACAAAACATCCATACTAGACAAGACATTGAGACATTAAAATAACAGAAATCATCCTTGTTCATTGAGAAGCCTGATCACTACAGGGACGAATGAGTTTTTCAGTCTGTTCGTTCTACTTCTGGGCAGCAGAAGCAACCTGAACTCACCATGGAGTGGATGCTGTCAGCAAATGTCAGCTGTTCAGATTCAAATCACATGAACAGTTTAGTGATGAAACCCTTTCAGCCTTTTCCACAATTAAAAGAGCTGAAATATCCCTTTAAGGGGCACTTTGCAACTGTTTAGAGAACTTTGAGGATCGGCTCCGTTTTGGCGCTGCAGTGTCAAATCACAAAACTGCACACGACAAATCCAAAATAATTCATGTATAAATTTCAATGTTCTTTTGACTGTTTTGGCTCAGTTTGTTCCTCCGGCTCCTGAGGGAAACGTTCGGCTCTTCGGCAGCTTTAATTGTTGTCGTTGTTAATTATCTTTGTGTGTTTTGATGTTGAAGCCTGCTGCACGTTGTTACCAAACTGTCCCCGTGTGACCGATGAGAGGAAAACAGAACCCGTCAAGTTGAAGCATAGAAAATAAAACAAAGAGAAATGGCATTTCCTGCAAAAATGCTTATTACAGAAAAACAGCTGAAATTTGCTAAAAAAAAAAAACACGTTGAATTGTAGCTAAAATGGAAGAACAGGCCTAAATTAGCAGAAGAAAGCAGAAAGAACACAAATTTACTTAGGTTTAAATAAGCAGAAGAGAAGAGAAGTAGTTGAAAAGGCAGAAAGAAGCTTAAACTACCAGAAAGAAGAGGAAAGAGCTGAAATGAGCTCCAAAACATGTGGAATTAGCTGAAAAAGCTAAAATTGGCCATAAAAGAGCTATAAAGTAGCTGAAATAGCGTAAGTAGCTGAAACAAGCAGAAAAAAGCTTAAAGGAGCATACCAAGCTGAAATGAGCAGGAATAAGTTAATTAGGCTGAAATTAGCAGAAATAACCACAAAAAACTAGAATTTATCTCAAAACAGCTGAAATTAGCTAAAATGCTAAATATCTAGCTGAAAAGGTAGAACTAGCTTAAATTAGCAGAAGAAAGCAGAAAGAGCATGTTAGCTGAAAGAAACAGAAATGAGCACAAAAAGTGGAAATTATCTGAAAAAAGCTGAAATGAGCAAAAAACAGCTGAAAAGTAGCTATAAAAGCAGACAGAAGCTTAAGTTAACAGATGGAAGTGGAGAGAGCACATTTTTACTGAATTAGGCTGAAAAAAGTTGAAGTGAGTGCAAAAAATGTGGAATTAGCTGAAAAAGCTAAAATTAGCATATAAACAGCTAAATAGTAGCTGAAATAGCAGAAAAAGTTGAAACTTGCATAAATTAGCTGAAAGGAGCATAATAAGCTGAAATTAGCAGAAAGAAATTAGAAGATGCACAAAAGTTTAGCTAGCAGAAATAATCTAAAATGACCACAAAACAGCTGAAAAAAAAAAAAAACCATCTGAAAATAGCAGAAAAAATGTTTACATTTGCTCAATGAAGCTGAAAGAAGCTGAACCAGAACAAAATGTGAAAGGAGCAGTAAAAAGTTGTAAATGGATCTAAAGACTTGAAGGATGTAAAATGAGCTCAATTCGTTTTCTATGAGGAAAGAAATGTCAGAAAAGGCCAAATATTCCAAACAGCTAAAGTTGCACCAATACCAAAAGTCAAAGCAGGATTGTCTTGAAAGAGCTGAACCTTCTGATATGTGATTTGTTGAAATTGCACAAAAATTGTGGAACGAGAAAGATGTTGGAAGAAAAATGGTTCACAATAGTGTGAATGCTTC